TAACATTGGAAGCATCCTACCACCTAGCCCTAATATTAATTTATTTACCCTCATTTGTTTTTCCTTATGTTTCGAGTCCACCTTTTATTTAAATCTTAAAGCTAAAAGTGGATTACATGTGGGCATGTTTGCTCTCGTACAAGGCAGAACTATGTAGGTTAATGCCTAATTACAGATCCAAACCGTACCTTTGAAACTGGGGGCCACGTTGGCTGGGAGTTGAGGGAGAGATAATAAAACACTTCCAGGCTCCACCCAAAACACAAGATTTTTGCTTTGTGGAGCTAGGAGGTGTTTGTGTTGCTGCTCAATGGCTGAAATCCAGTTGCACAAGTTAATGCTGTGCAAGGTTGATGGCAGGAATTTTTCCTAGATTAGACATTTTCAACCCACAACCTGCCCTGAAGGGCTAAAGACTCTCTTGAGACACCCATTGTTGTGGAGAGAAGTTAGGGGCCATGGGATCAGTGGAGAAGTCTTTATTTTTTTAAAAAAATGCCATTCCAATAAAATCACCTAACTGGGGGGGGGGTGATTTTTGGAAATTAAATACTCCCCCGTTCCATGGTTGCCAACAGCTTCCCCGTGACAAAAGAAAGCTTCAAGAGCTTTGAAGAATTGGGCATGTTTGATTTCTGATAAATCACTTTAGCTGCTAATGTCATCAGCCTTACGTGGCATAAATTACAGCTACAGGATTTCAGCAAATATTTTATCCTTTGGGGCCACATTCAGTGTTGGGGTGTGTGTGTCAGAGGCTTCAAATGCATACATGCACACATATACACACTGTCACTGTAACAGGGAGCATCTCCTCAGGGACAGTGAATGGAGTGGGGGAGATGGAGTGCCATCTTTTGTACTTTTTGAAAAATTACCTTGTTGCAATAGTGATTTCAACAGCAGCGATGGGTCAGTCATACATAACCATGTAAGCACTCAATCAGATCTCAACCTTGCTGCTTGTCAGTCATGTTTCCTCGCATTATGGTTTGTGAAGCAGGGGTTAACAGTTCCTGATTTTAGAAAGCCCTGTCTGTTCTTCTTGCCTTCCTACACAGAACATGTCATTTTCTTAGTACTGTTTAGAGCTCGGCTGGGAAAAAGTTACTTTTTGGAGAACTGTTCCAAATCGTGGCCGGGGACTGTGGCTATTACAGATTTCATAAAATTCATTCAGTGATGTGAAATGCAGCAATTCCCTGTCACTTTTTTAAAAAAAGAAACAAACGTGTGTTTGAAATATTCAGAGCTGGCACCTTTAACAGTTCTGAAGGGTCCATGGTAGATACCACAGCCTAGGTAAAGAAAGGGGGCTCACATAAGGAATTAAAGGGGGAAGAGCCTCCACCATGCTTTCTGGCTGCTGAGCAAGGAAAAGTGAAAGTTTGTTCCAATACAGCCAAAATTAAGTACTGTATGTTTAGGTAGCACCAGTTTAAGCTAGAGAGAAGTGGTGTACGCATCTTTTTAACTCTCCCAATAAACTGAATAAGACAAAGATTGTCTGAAGTCTCAACAACAGCTTGGGAATGTTACTTTTATGGACTGTATAATTCAATGCTTAGAAAGTCAAGGAGCTGTAATTCATAAAAGTAATTTTTTCCAGGCTCTGATCCTAATGTACTAAGAGCTGGAAGAGTTGCCTGTTACCAAGCAAACATCATTAGGCATAGGAAATCAAAGTATTTAATGTAGCCTACGCTCTAGACCTTATGCTTTGTTATTTTTAATGTGTATCTTCTCATACTAACATACATATACTTTATTCATTATAAATGTAGTTGCAATAAAATAGACTGTCCTGCCTTTCTGAATTGGGTATAGAGCTAATTAGATTTGGGAATATGTGCTTTTCAATTCGAAAAAAAAGAGATGTATTTTGCATATGAAAAATATGCAAGCATTCAAAAATATGCAAATCTTCAAGCAGCATTACTATTTAGCAATCAGGCATTTTGAAAATGTTTTACATTAATTACCCTTTTTTTGTCCACATAACAACTCTGTGAAATGGGTCACTATATTACACAGATGGACTTGTGTGGGTAGATACAGTAACATCTATTTGCACGAATTAGTGATTTCCCTGGGCTTATTTTCGGGGAAATAAGCAATGGCTGTGTCTATACTTTGCCTTAGGGAGCGGTGGCGAACCTCTGCATGCTGGTTATTAAGTTGTTGAAGGAGGTGGTTTTGAGATGCAGAAGGATGGTTTGGGCCTTTGTCCAGATTACATTTCTCATCTCCATTTTCTGACTTTGTGTTTTTCTCCCGCTTCAAGCTTGCATAATGCAAAAATATTCAATAAGGTGGATTAATAATGCTAAGACATACTTTTTCCTGCTTGAAGCTGAGTATCCCTGAAAAGTACCAATTTTTACAAATCTCTCAAACCATCCCTTGTACTTTACTTAAAAGCAACATTTCCCCTTTCTAACCTTTTCCATGTGTGAGACCCAGCTTTGCTTTCCTCAGAAATCATGTGCATAAATCAGAGGGGTAGTCTCTATATTTACCAGAGTTGCCCAAATCAATATAAACCTTACAAATCAATATAAACCTTACAATAGAGGGCAATCAGACAAGCATTTGTCCTGCTGTTCAGTCCACTGTGGGCACAGACGGATTGCTTTGCTTCTTTCTTCCAGTGATCACATGATGTAATCATTGGAGTAAACCAAACTGTCACCCGAGTGTCCCATACTTTTCTGAGCCCCTGTCATGGGCTTCTATGTTTCTGATGCAGGAGGGATTGCTCTGGTTTGGTCCACATCCAACATGTATGATCGCTGGGGATGGATCAAAAGCAAGCTTTCAAGGCTCCTTCTGTTTTGGCCAATAAACTGCCTACAACTGAATCAGTGGATTCAGCAGTGGGCAGTTTTTCAACCAATCCTTTAAGTCAGAGGTCCCCAACCCCCGGTCCACAGCCCAGTGCTGGTCCATGGCCTGAGCTGGACCAGGCCACCAAGACAGACCTCCTGCCCCATCCCCTCCATGCACTCACCCCCGCACAGCCCATTTGTACCTGCATGTGCACTCCAGCATGACTGTGCAAGCGCTGCACTGCCATTTGCACATGAGCATGTGCCCAGACAAGTTCAGCACCACCATTTGCACATGCGCATGAGGGTGCATGCACAAATGGCGGCAGAGCGCTTGCGTAGGCATGCACACGCTCATGCGAGAGAGAGAGTGCATTGTTCACACATGTGCATGAGCGTGGGGGTGCCCTGCCTTCCCCAGCCGGTCCGCGGACCGAAAAAGGTTGGGGACCACTGCTTTAAGTCACAGAAAAGAATGCTTAATTTATTCATAAGTGATGCAACACATCCGTGCTGGTATACGGAAAAAAATCTCTTCCCCTGCTGGGGGGAAAAAAATCTTCCCCTGCTCCTCTGCTAAGGAGCAGATGGAGTGTTCAGTTTGCTTAATCTTGAATTCGCTTGCTTATTAAGCCACTTCATGGTATCAGAAATTCAAAACGGAAGGAATCAGATGAAGTAGGGTCACCTGAGCTCCAATATAACATTAAGATGTAAGGATCACTTCAGATGGCATCTGCACCAACACCTGGCCCTTAGTGATCTCATTTACCCCACACCAGTCTGCTCCAAAATCAGCAGTGCAGATGACCCCCCCCCCGAGTATCACATTTCAATGATGATTCTAAATAAGACCAACCACAAAACTTATACAATTCTAACTCAAAGTGCTATTTCCCACCTCCCAGCATTTGCTGACTGAGGAAGGTGCCTCACAACAGGATGTATCCTGATTGGTAAGATTGTCTTGTGTCCACAGCAGCTAACCATATGTCCTTCATCAAATATCAATATCAAAAGCTGGAAGGATAACTATTATTTATGACCAGCTAATTATATCTATGGTCCCCCTGTGTTTGTGGAAAGCAACACAACCATTTCTACCAATTTTGGCCTACCATCACAAACCCTTTGCCAACATGCCCCTTTCCATGTTTTTGGAGTACAATTCCCATCATTTCATGGCAGTGTGGCTGCTACGTGATGGAAGGTGTAGCTCTACACACCCGGAAGCCATCGTGTGGTGAAAGAAAGCAGCCATATATACTCCCTCAGCATCTGTCAAGTCTCCTGCAGTGGTCTGCCCTCATCCTCTTTAAACACTTACACTGAACACTCCCTTTCTTTCCTTTGGTGGGTTCGTTTCCAGTCTGGGTTATTTTTCTTTTTCTTTTTCTTTTTGTTTTTTAAAGCAATCTCTCTGCAGCAAGCTGCCCTTTTAAAGAAGCACAGAGTTCATGGATGCAGCGGTCTTCAGCAAACAAACACTGAGGAGCAAAAACTTAAGAGCCTGAACAGGCTGGATTAAGAGGTTCTGTTTCTCTAGGAACTCCAGTTCTCTCACTTTACAGTTCAGTGTTTATTTTTTCCCCCCTCGTGCCTGGGGTTGGCAAAGTTTTCTAATCAAGAACAGAAGGGCTTTGTGAGAAAGGCAGAGATAGAATAATGCATTCTCTTAATTCCCCCAAGAAAATCTCTTTCTAAGAACATACACAGATTGCACCTTTTTGTCTGTGGGATTCTCTTCACTGTCGAAAGAAGCTTATCGGTCCCTTAATAAAAAGACAGGGAACCGATGTCATCAGAGGAGGACTATCGGACAATCATTTAGGGCTCCGCTGATCAGAAGCAGGAGAGCACCTAAACATATAATGAGTACTGGTGTACCACATGTTGAAATAAGTGATCTGGGAAAAAATAACTGTCTAAAGAGCAGACACAAAGATTATTAAAAATGTAAGTACCACTGAAAGTGTGGGGTGAAGAGCTGGTGATCCAGTCAATTCCAAACTGAGAGCAAAGAGAGTGGTAAACAAACTTTTAGAAAGAGATTTCACAGAAAACTTTACGAAATCAAAAGTGTGGAAGAGATGAGGCTATTACTTTTCACCTCCCTGGCCTACCCCACGCCACCCCCATCACTCCTCATATGCCCAGGTAGGTTGCACTCACATGAAGGTTGATCATTTCTGCTTCTGATTCCATCATTTAATTTCCTGGGTTTTCTCTTCGGTCCTCTTCAGCCCGCACAAGAGATCAAGTCTCTGCAGCTTTCTGGATTCTCCCGTGCATTTGCTGGGTGGGAAGGGAAAGCACAGCTGCTTGGAACAGACCTCCTATTCATTTGTGTAAGACTCTTGCCTTGGCTTCAGCTTTGAGAGTGGGGGAAAAGAGGCAAAGGCATATTGGTGGTGGAAGCAGTAGCACGCAAATCCTTCATTGTCTCTAGGATGCTGAATAGTCCTCCTGTCATGTTAGCCATGACCAAATGTCTCCCTAGCTTCTGGATCCAGCTGAGCCCTGTGAGGTCACTTGGGCTGCAGTTTTGTGATGTACACAATGTACCAAGGGAATCATGGCACAGACCATGCAAGCTTTCAGCACACATTCCTAAATGCCATCTGTGTAGCTTGCAGGGCCTCTTGCGCAGATGGCTTCTGTCACAGGCAGCTCACTTACCACAACTCGGTCATGCTTGTTGGCCGCAGAAAAGGCAAACGGAAAAGCAGTTGCTCTTAGCAAAGAAGCACTCTCCAAGTCTTAAGAGCTCATAACGTTGAGGCCATTTCCAAACTCAGCCAAGCCTGTTTTGGGCACTGCATGGAAGGCTGCCAGAGGCTGTACTTTAGAGCTATGCCTGTAAAAATCAGCACAAAATAAGACCACCAGTCTCCCTGACATTAGGTACTTCTCCTGACGCAATGTACCAACCATTGATTTAATTTTGGCCCAAAGCGGGTGACAGAAGAGAGCAGCAAGCCAGGAGGCACATAAGGAGAAAGAAAACTTCTCAGCACAAGAGGCTGCCTTGTTATGAGTTAGGACTGGTCTAGTATTGGTCCATTAGGCAGAGTGATGTGGCTGTTACAGGCAGTGGATTTAGCTGATCTGCAAAAGCAAGAGATTATCAGCTGTTGATTTTGTTATTCCATTTTCACTACCAGGGAGATGGAAATAAATGCTTGTGAAATGTATTTGCGATGTTCTTCCTTATATGGGCCAACATCCATTTGCCTATCTACACAAATGGCATTAAATTTGCAGGCAAAATTACTCCAGACTCAACATGCAACTGATAATGCCTATGGTGATTTTCTCACCTGGGGCAATTCACCTTCAGAGTTATGACATTTGTGTTCTGGCAGTGTAACTAGGCAAGGGAATTTGGGCCATGATAACAAAACCTTTGACTGAGTCACCTTGCCTTTTTGTTGTTATGTTCCATCAAGTCGCTCCTGACTTATGGTGACTTCATGAATGAGCAATCTCCAGAATGCCCTATTCTCAACAGTCCTGTTCAACTCTTGCAAGTTCAGGACTTGCAAGAGCCCATCTCATATTTGGTCTTCCTCTTTTCCTGTTGCCTTCAACCTTTCCAAGCATTATTGTCTTTTCCAGAGAGTCCTTCTCATGATGTGCCCAAAGTAGGACAGCACCCATTTCAACATTTTTGCCTCCAGAGATAGTTCAGGCTTAATTTAAACTAGAACTCACTTGTTTGTCTTTCTGGCAGTCCAAGGTATCCACAAAGCTCTCCCCCAGCACCATATTTCAAACAAATCAGTTTTTTTTCCCTGTCAGCTTCCTTTTCTGTTGAACTTTCACACCCATGGGAACATCTAGGGGGGCAAAAGTTGAGAACCACTTGTCTAGGTTGTCTAACCACTTTACTGAGTTATTGAGCACTCACTAATACCAGATTCTCCATTTAGCCAAACTACAGAGAGTCATGATGGCATTGTTGGTCTTAATCAGGGTACATAATTTATGTCAACCCATTCCAGTTTGTCTATTTCCTTCCAGCAATGTGGTGCCAAGAATTTGACACAGTGCTTTACATGAGGGTTAACTAACCCAAAATGATATGGACTTGTTACTTACTGTGAGTTGGAATCTACAATTGCATTATTGCAGGTTAAAATTGCATTAGACTTGTGATCAGTAATAAGCCTAGGCAACTTAATTATGAGTTCTATGAGTGCAGCAGTAGGTTTTCCAACTGCTATATTCATAGCAATTGCTGCCAGATGAATTTGGGACTGCCTATTTCATAAGCCACAGTGTCCAAGGGAAACCATATTTTGAAACCAGCTACTGGGACTACTCAAATATCTTGTGTGCTGCTGAAATTCTTCCAAGTGGATCAACATGGAACTTCCCTGGTTAAGAACTGTGGTCTTAAAAATATTATTGGAGACCATGTTCCCAACAGCAAAATTATTTACAACATGCAATCTTATTTATAGCATGGGGTTTCCCTTGAGCTTGATTCAGAAATTACAGCTGCTACAGAACTTGCACAAGAGATCAAGTCTCTGTCAAGGCCATTTATGTGCTTTACTGGGCACGTGTTATATCAGGATTTGAACTGCATCAGCCCATCTTCAGGGCCTTGACACTGGTAACACTTTCTTCATTATTGTACAGGAGGTGGCATCTCTTATGGATTTTTGGCCAAGCACAGGATAATCCCACAGCCAGCATAGGCGATTCTGGAAGGTATGAAAAGACACCTCCTAAAGATACATCTGTTTGCTTAGGCTTTCTGTTTCTTGTTTTATGCTTCTTAAGAATTCACATGCTGTTTGCCATTTCAAATCTTTTATAAATCTATGATGCCTGTACTTTTTATTAGGATGAGGAATCTAGAAAGTATATAAGTATATAATATAAGTAATATAAATAAATAAATGATACATTTCTGCTGTCCATTGCAGCCATTACTCCTGCTATAATAAATAGGGAAGAGAGCTCATGAGACATCACTTGTTTCAAAACATTGTTTCTTTAAAAAAGTCACTGTCCCTAGATGTCTCACTTTCACTAAGATAGGCCCAAAATATGAGGGAATCAAATGGCTGATTGTTTTAAAGCAAACAAAGAAACAACCACATCATTCACCCACCACTGAACTACATTCAAACACAATGAGCACAGATATAAATATGAAGATTGTAGTATCAGCCAAATTCAAATGCTTATCTAAATACTGCACACACACACACACACACACACACACACATATATATATATATATACACACACACACACACACACACACACACACATACACATATATATATATATACATACACACACACACATACATATATATACATACACACACACACACAAATTTTAATAAATATACGTATAAATAGATTGTTTTCAGCCTTGAAATCCACAGTCTCAGCATCCCTCTTCTTCCTTCATGTCATCCCATTAATGTGATTAAAGAGGTAAAGAATGTATGTGGATCCATTTCAACAAAATACTTGAAAGCCTTTTCTAAGAATCAAGGAGCTCCTTTAAAATTCTGTAATGAGGTGTGTATGCTTTGTTCTGTTCTGTTTTGCTTTTGGTTTTGCTTTGTTCTATTCTGTTCACTGGGTTTTGCTGCCTATGGGTATTCCTCCTCGCTTGCTATTTGCTCTAGAGAGTGTCTGGAATGTGATAAATGTTATATTGCTTCCAGGACTCTCTTATAAATTTAGCTAAATGGTAGATAACACTTGGATGTCTTTTTGCCACATATCTTCAGTTCTTCTGTTTTAAAGCATTAAACAGTCAATACGTAGTACCATATTAGTAAAGAGAACTATAAACTCCTTCTTGAACCAAATCATTATCACTGGCAGAAACACCTGTAGGTGTGAGGGAATGTAGCAGAACAGAAGACAGAACAATGTGAGTGTCTGTTCCATTTCAGACCCACAAAAAACCAAATTCAGACAAAACAAAACATGCCTGACATACAATGATGTTATAATCACATTCCTCTAACAGGAAGAGATAAGAAAAATATAATATGGGTTTTTAACAGTACCACTGCTTGTGACAGAGAGTGAGTCACAATTGCTGAGTTCTCAAGGCAACATCAGGTATACTTACAAAGCTGAAAAGCTCTTGTAATTTGCTTTTATTTCCTGTAATTAATGCAATTTGTGCAGTGTTTTCCTGGAGACAGCAGATATTCAATTACAATTTACCGGATTGCTTATTCTTTCTTTCTTTCTATCTATCTATCTATCTATCTATCTATCTATCTATCTATCTATCTATCTATCTATCTATCTATCTATCTATCTAATTTATATACTGCCCCAGTAGTGCAAGAACTCCAAGGGTCCATCATGCACATAACTTTGCCATAGCAAATAGCAGGAGCAATATTCTACAAGTATAAACAGCAGCTATCAAAACCCCCAATTAATTTGATGTTCGAAACCTTTAAAAGCATAGGCATTAATGCATTAATTGTTTAAGTCTTTTCAGATGATTTTCTTTCCTATTTTCAAATATATCTGTGAAAGTGTTTGAAACTTTGCTCAAAAATCCTGAAGTAGGTGTTGGAGGAGGTCAGTGCAATTTGTTCGGTGGCCATGTCATTTCGCAGATTCTGGGTGTTGTAGTCCAAAAAGTAACATTTTAAATCTCTAAAATTCGTACTATGGCTTGGCCCACACACCTCATGAACCACTGAACTCCTCCTCCTGGCATGAGACATTTGAAAGCTATGTCTTTCAATACAGAGAACGACCAGGACCAGTCCAATATATATTGCTTCCTAAGACAAAGCAACAAATACTCCATGATCCAAAATCAAACTTAATAATAAATTAAATAAAAAAACAATTCACCATCCATTCACGAATAAAAAAAATGTATCACCAGAAATAGCCATCTCACTGTGCTTGATGGTAGGGCTGGACCATGAAATTATTCACTATGATTCTTGGTTCACTGTGACTCTTTTACTGCAATGCATCCTCCTCACCTCTAGGAGTGTAGAAAGTCCAAGACAAATTTTCAGCCTCTGTTGTAGTTTCCTGAAAAGCAATGGCATCTTTCTTTCTTTCTTTTCTACCTTTCACCCCATTGAGGATACAAGTTGGCTCACAATTAAAATCATATAATAACAAGTTTAAAATGCAATACAAAATGATATACATTAGGACCCCCTTTATCTGCAGAATCTGTATCTGTTGATTCACTTATCTATCATTTGAAAATATTAAAAATATTAAAAGAAAAATACTAGAAATACATATTTCAAAAATGAAGTTACCAGAACTGGGCACTAGAGAGAGCCAGAGACCATTCTATGCATAGTGTACATTAGAGAAAAATATTTCCACGATGATATTACCAGAACTGGCCACTAGAGGAACCAGAGTCCATGCTATATATAGCATTCACTATTAATATAGTGTTCACTATAATCTGAGTTTTTCAGCATCTGTGGGGGAACCAAATACCTGTGGAAACTGGCTCCTACTGTATTAAAAAATAATTAAATATTGGTCGGGATTAAAAACTGTTTTGGAAACATTAAAAAAATATTTTAAAATAGCTGATTTACAAAAAATAGTGTTCCCTATACATGTATCACTTAAAAGCCTGAAAAGGAAGGTCTGCCTGAAAAAGGATTATCTCTGTTTATATCAGTCGCTCCT